TATTTGTGCCTTCTATAGTATTATTAAAAAAAAATCTAATAAAAAATTGCAGTTTATATATAAAAATTTTATCACGTAAAATGTGATCAAACTCTAGCAATGTTTAATTATATTCATGACATTCTATTTCCATTTTAATTAATTTTGTTAAATATTGAATTATCGCAAATTAATTTTCTTTAATCTCAAAACTTTGTCTGAAAGGTTAATTTTCATGATTTTCCTTACCCTTCTACGACGATGTAAAAAGTACCCGCTGTTAGTCGCGTATAACTTGTAAACCCTCGGGATTTAAATTATATGATTTTTCACCGTTAATCTCTTTTTACTACTTTTTGTGCCTAGTAATTAATCCGCCACTGCGTTCTACCCTTTTGATAAACGAGTGATCTTTCTTTAGTGGAACGTTTAGCTTATCCATGTCAACGCTCCCGAACCATTCTCGTGTTAGAAATTGTTTGAGGCCGACGGCGGCGACTGGTGCCATTGCTGCTGCACCACGAATTGCGCTCGGGCGTTGTGTTTGTGAAATTATCCGAGTAGTAATTACGGCACAACGAGTATATACCGACACCCGCGATGATTGCTCGGCCGATTATTTGTGACAAATGATTATTCGCATACTCTCGGGCGCGTTACAATCGTTCGCAGTGTCGCTCGCAGCGGCGATATTGTTGCAGAGGCGAGCAATGATTCGCCTGGGTGCGCGCGATGATTATATACTGCATATGTCACACTGTGTGATTGCGGAAGAGCCGGAAACACGGCATCTTGACTGCGCAATTATTATATTAGTGTTATCCGATAATTTGTATTATGCGCAATTTGTTAATTGAACTGGCATAAAACATAGTTTTTCTCACATCTCATCAAATATTTTTGAAGAGTGAACGGATATATTGTTATGCTTATTCGTCGTACATTTCAAAGTGTGATTTTATTTTCAGAGATTGATAAAGCCGGCTAGCAAGTCAACTTTGAACGGCTAAGATTTTGAAAGCGCATTTCGCGTTTAGGGATCTTGAGCGACTCTATTCAAACTGACGAGCCTCGTTCGCCCTTACATATGCAGACGTGCGAATTACCGAACAATGTCGGGCAAATTGCATTTACGATAACGCATGTTTAGTCCGCGACGGCATTAAGCGCGAGGCGACAGTTATATTTGTTTATGCAATTCTCACGCCAGTCGGCTGGTCGGCCGGCCAGTCGCATTTCATGCGGACTAAGCTGCATTTTGACGTCGCTAACGCTACACACGACGATACCGGGGACAACTGTAGAATTTCCCATAACAAAACTCGTTCGCGCACAAACCCGGCATTCACCGGGCGGAGAATACAGAATGGAATGGAATAGGAAGTCTCTTTTCTAGTACCGGTCCCGAGGTACAAGATCGTGCAGAAAACATAAAGATAAGGAGGGTACGGTATACGATCGATGTGTAAGCCTGGTATGCGGCGGTAATGCAACAGTATCTCCGAGTATCGCGTATCGAGAGAGAGAGAATGCATAATCGGGTAACAAGAACGTCTCAATGCAAGTGAAACACACGTTGATTAGGGTGCACTTAAAATTTATGGATTTGCGCGAGTCTCATGCGCGATAATCGCGGTTGCGTCGGTTAGCAACGAGCAAATAACAGGCTGGAACTCGTACCGCGAGAATACATTACGATTTAATGATCACAGTTAAGATCGAGTCATACGATGTTGATCATGCTTCGTGAATATTTTAATTTTTTTATGGATATATTATATTTGTATTAGAATATTTGAAGATTCGTGATAAGATCGTAGATACAAATCAATCCCGAGTTTATTTCTCGTCGATTGCGAACGTTTACTTCTCGGTTAATACAAACAGTAGATTCATGGAAGCAGATCGAATACTTGACGTTAAATCGCGTCGATCGTTTCCGACAGGCGCACGGTCGGCCGATTAACGCAATTCAATCCGATTCGCGTAGATACATGCATCGCGCTTATGCGCACGAATGCAAAAGTGCGCATTGTGCGAATACACAACTCAACAGCGTTTCTCAATCTAGTATGCTTTTCCCTTGAGTTTTCTATCTCATCCTCCACCGTTCTCGTAATATAAACCTTTCTTTTTTTCATGGCTGATGGCGAGGAAAAACGGTAGGATGTTTTGCGCGCCGTAAACATGGGAAAATTATCGCGCGGGTGGGATGAAACGTAGCCGCTGCAACGTAATAGCGAATCCTTCTCGGTAGTTTCTGCGTCCGGCGTGGAAAAATAGGCTTCACCCGCCGGCGAAAACGCGCGCGCGATTGCGCTGAATTATGACGCCGTTTTGATAATAACTCGACTTTTTAAGCATTAACATTAAGATAATTGTCGGTCAACGGAAGCGTGAACAAAAATGAGCGTAATATTCCTTTTTTATCGCAGTAAGTAATTATTTATGATTTACGCATGCGGCGAAAGCAATACTCTTGAATATTCAACGGGTGCTTCGACCAAATTATGCACAAAAGATAAACTAAGTTTACCGGATTACGTAGCATTAAAGTAGAGAATTTATTTTTATATAGCAGATTTTCTCTTTATCTTTCTTTCCATTATCCTAAAATTTGTTTTTTAAGAAGAGAGAGATGTATTCTGGCTTAAAAATTTTGTATGTATCTGTACGTGAATAACCGAAGAGGCATTTGTTACGCTAGGTTTATATTTGACAGATATCGAACGATATTTCCATCTGGCGAGCTCTTGTTTCTGTTCGCTGATGAGTACAAAACTGTGGGCTCGGATATATGATGACATTTATTTCCCAAATGTATACTCTTCTTCTCTTCGCGATTTTAAAACTTTACGCTCGATAGAAGTGCAATGCGACGTGCAAAGCTTTCCGCAAGCGACAGATTTATCGTCACCGGATCGAACTTTCTGATTAATGAGCAATATGGAATATCGGTTGACGAGAAGCAGAATAATATTGAAAAAAGATTTTATCCATTTTATAAACTATACATATCTGATGTAACCGTGAATTTAACACGTATAAATAAGAAATATTTTTAAATATCTGTAAATATAACATTCTAAAACGAGATACGCACAGAAATTTACAATCTGAAGAGAAAATTTAAAAAATTAACAAGATTAAAAACTGTTGAAACGATATGTAAAAGTACCATGATTATCCGTACAATCATCCGTTGCGTGTGCAATGCGAACAAGACGCATCGTTCAGAGTAAACGCACATTATTCCGTACGCGGAGCGGCAGCTCATATCTGGTTGCATGCGCGATGAATAACGAGAGAAAGAGAGAGAGAGCGAGCGAGAGAGAAGTAAAACAATAGGGTGTCCGGGGAACGGGGGCGAGATGCGGCTGCAGAAAGGAGAATAAAGGTGTCAGATAATGTGATATATGGGATCGATTTGAATCCGGCGTTTAAGCCGCGAGCCATAATTCAATCTCGATCACCTTTTCCTTCCTTCTCCGCAGCTCTTCCTTTTCCACCGTCTTTCCCGTCTTCGGCCTCCGCCTCTCGCTCGGCCGCGTACTATCCCTCAAGGGCACGTTCGATACCCAATATATACTTAGATACATCCGAGCTACTCTCGCGGTACCCGGTCCCGCATAATACATACGCGTATCGCGAACACCGTTGACTCCTTAAGGCTTCGTTGATATTGTCTTCTTCGATTATGAACGGATTTTTTTATAAGATTATTATGCTGCTCGATACAATATTGCGGCTCGTAATTTCTATCCTGTTACTATACACCCATATCCAACGCATTGCTAATGCTGATACTACTTTAAAATAATTGAAGTTTTATAAGAATAAGAGTATAAATGCAAACTAAAAGCTTTTGAGAAAAATGTTATGCTTTTTGTCGATATTATTTATCGTTTATTTATCGAATTTCTCATCATTACCAATTTCATATTAATTATGAATTGTCACAGTCTTATTGATAACATAAATTTATGATATATTCTTGTTAAATTTATGTTGAAAAATAATTTTTAATGTGTATAAAAAAAATAATACATAATAATATTTGCAATGGTCACGTGTGTAGATGGAAAATTTATTTTATATAGCCGTTTGCAAAGCGCGTTTTACGTCGTTGACGTGACGAGACGGAACTCACGTTTTTCTGCGTGAATGTGTGCGTAAGACGCATGTCGGGACGTCTGGGTCTGGGATATGTAAGAGGGGAAAGCTCGACGATATTCGAGCGGGAAATCTGAGGGTCACGTAGCAGACCTTTTGCGTGAGGTATATAAATCGTTATCGTATAAACGTAATGCTAATCTGACAAACGCATCCCGTCGTCGTTTCTCACATTCACAACGCAATTTCGAAACGTTTACTGATAATTTTTTTTAATACAGTATCAAGAAGAAAAATATTGTATATATGTCTAGTTCCAAACAACAGTGTATCAATGTGTCTAATTTAGACAACGCAATAGTGCTTTTCTACAAGATATTGCGGAGAATATAAATCTAATGTTCATATTTTTAGGATTATTAATTAGTATATGTAATTATAAACATACATATATATATATATATATATATATATATATGCCTATATATATAATTTAATAATAATCCTAAAAATATGAACATTGAAAATATATAAAATATATAAAATGTTTATATATATATATAAACATTTTATCAAGCTAATTGTTTATTAATATGCTTTATTAAGTTTCTTTACTTTACATTAAAATTTTACTCATTGCATTTTACTCATTGTTATTTTTTTCTTATAGTGCACATTGTATATTTCACACATTTTGCATATATTTGATAAATGCAATATAGTGAACATTTTCTGAGTACTTTAAGGGAAAAATATTCTTATGTAATCTCTCAAATATGGACAAATAGATTAGCAATTATTTATGTATTGTAATAAATAAATTTACTTACCAGACGATTTGCCGTTGATTTTTGATTGATTGTTGCTCCACTTGTTGCTTTGTGTGATTTATGTTCCACTCTATGTGATTTTTGTTGCTCCACTTGTTGTGATTTCTGCTCCACTCTTCTCGAGAAGATGAGTTTATCGAAAAAATACGATCTCTGAAATTTCAAGCGGAAAGATTAATTATATTAATAATTTAAGATTATAGGTTAGAATATGTAGCATCATCGACCGATACTTACTCGTTTTTATCGGATTATATGATGACTTTGCATCAATTTCATAGCGTTTCACTTGAAAACAATTTTTTTAGAGATGGATAACTTTCGTATTTCTATTGTGAGAAAATTTTCATATATAAACTACTGCCAAAAATGTAGAACGCGATAGAATTTTTGTTATTTTAATTATTCGTGACTATATTCTATTTCGCCTTTTGATATTTGTAACCTCACTTTGTCATATCATCGAAACAATCTGCACATGTATTATGCATTATATGCATATCCAAAGAGAGAGATAGAGAGAGAGAGAGATAGAAAGAGAGAGTATTGCAATGTTCCAACCAAGAGAATAGAACAAATAATCCAATTAATTACAGTATACGGCGATAATTACCCTTTCTTCGACATGCTCGAAACACAACCCACATCTATGTCTTGTATGGCAGAAATGAGCGGGAACGATATATATACACACCACTGTGAAGTTACCACTACGTATTTTCGTATGTCATAGCACAAATGGAATGCAGATAGGACTATGGTATTTAAAAATATAAACAGTAAATCGATTAATCGCAATTAAAAATCCTGAATTGTGATTGGTCGATTTGACTTACTGATAAATTTCACTACTTATGTAATTGGTTTTATGGTGATCAATATGTCGGAACGTGAGAAGTTCTTTCTCAAAGGAGAAAAATTGTAGGTATACTTTTAAACGTATAACTTATGTCATAATTAAAAAAAATATAACTATTTGAAATAATGTTCGTCTAGATCTATTTTCTCGGATATCGCTTGTGCAAAAGACCGATTTGACTTCGCTGTGATGTATTGTGAAGACGCACGCACATGGAAGGTTCGTCGGCGCAAGAGCGAGGGGAAGAGGAAGCTATGGAAAACAGAGACGGGACCTACTCATAAGTCAGACGGTGAGCGAGAGATAAACGGCATAAGACAGGAGAGCGAGACGAAACATGGGGTCCCGTATGCGTTCGCTTCCGCGGCGGGCGGCCGGCCGGCCGGTCGGATAGGCAGGCAGGGGGGAGCATCAGAACGGCAACCGAGCACAACGCAGTGCACGCGCAGCCGCCGGGACGCGCGCATCTCGTATGTTTTTGCTCTTCTGAGGGAGGAGGAGGAGAAGTTCGTAAAATCGTGATCAACGCGGCACTGCGCGTTCGGGTCTCGCGGTTGCATCTAGGCATAGTAATACGCAAGCGATCGGGTGTGCGAATTCAAAGGTTTTTTTTTTTCAAATCAAAATTCGAGTGGCCACCCTGAGTGATTCGTTCGCGACGATACGCGCGAAGTTGTAGTGACTGTGCGCTCAGCGAAGAAATTTGCCAGTCATCGGTCAGAGACGAAGCACGGCGAAAACGGTAAGATGATTTTGGATTTTTCATTGAGAAGTCACGGCGCTTTCAAGTCGTCGATTTCTTCCGCTCTGCAACTGTGCCGCTTCGCATGCGCTACTTTTACGGCAGACTAAAAAGTTGCTCGAGTATTTAGTCCTACCGAATTAAATCACGGCAATTGTGTAGCGCATGATAGATTAAGAAAGTCATAGTTTATCGAAAGTCGTGTATTTTATCATCTCTGATTTTCTCTAATTACAGGACAACTAATTATCGTACGACAAAAATCGAAATGTATTCATTGTTCAGTTTCGGAATTTTCGTGTGATCGTTTGGTCTGGTTTACAAACAATCGAGCGCATAAAAATCATGGCGCGTCTGCGTCGTAAACATCGCGGTTGGTAACACTTTTGCGTGTTTATTTTGTTACGCGGATTCGTGGAATATTTCGGTGCGCGGCATCGGGATTTTCATGTGCGGTGATTGAAGTCGTGCTGCATTTCTGTCCCGTCGTGATTCGAATTCCCGCTGTGTTCGGAAGCCGGAATCGCGCGCGCTCCGGCAGTCTCGTAAAAGCGGTAAATCGTATATCATAAATTCGCGAGTGTGCAACCAGTTGACGTGGGAGTCGTCGAAGGACCTGCAGCGATGCTGGACCTGCATGGAAGGACGCCGTGGAAGGAGGTGGATGATCTAACGATTGATCATGAAGCGCCATACTGTGATCACCGCTAAGGAGCTCTGTGACGACATTCAACCTGCGAATTTGGGTGAGTCTAAAAAAGATTATCACATGACTTTGTATTAAAATTGAAAGAATATGGAATCATTTCAACGTCTATTATCTTTCCTTAAGTTTATCTGTTTTTTCTGTTACATTATGTAAACGTTATGCTATATTATTTTACTGTTATTTCAGCATATTCATTACGGAAATTTATTCGAATAATTTTGATTGTAGAAACAATTGCATTTCTGTTATTCAATATGGTGATGCATGGTAACAATTACCGTAGTTTTTATGAAATTTTTATGAATAATAATATTTTTTATAAAATTCGGTAAAATGTCACTTAATTTGATGCTGTGTGACACAATTAATTATTTTGTTATCCATTTTTTTTCATCTCGTAATTACATTAATGTCAGTATTGTAATTATCATATATATATAATATCTGTTTTTTCCAATGATTATTGGATTATATATATATATATATTCAATAGCCGTATTGTACGGCACAATTATACAAGGTTACTATAATTGCTATCATTATAGGATTGTAATATTCGGATTTATACGATGTATGTGTTTATCGCGTGTAAATAGATACTGTGTAAATAAAATAGATATTAGATTCCTAGATATTAATAATACGTGTATGCAAATGGCAAATATGTTTCGAAATATTCCGTATTCTATCAATAACAAATTACATTTGTATAAATATTTGTTATCAAAAATGCTGCTATTAAAAGTAGCAAAAATTTATATGAATAGAAAACGAACGCAGACGCGAGCGTTCGTTGGCTCACATATTTTTATATGGAAAAAAATAACCATTATATTTTTAAAAAAATTTATTTAAACTCGGACTTTATAACATTTTATTAATGTTTTGAATATTAAATATTAATTTAATTAACAAATAATAATTTAATTGGTATTGTGGTACAATAATCATAATATCACGAATTAGAATTTGGTCGAAGTAAATCGAGATAAAAATGATTTCAATTTATCGTAATCTAATTGCGGTAGCGTTGCAACATCGTTGTAAAATATAGTATTTGAGAGCTAAAAAACAGTGCAATGTGTTCGGTTACTCGACGAAAAGATCGTTAGTCTGGCGCAGCTTCCGTGAAAGGTTGGAGAACGCGACATGATTCCGTTGAAGAAGACCACCTCTTCAAGTAGGCGCTTAAACGTCAACATCTTGGAGAGCGCAGTCACTCGCTACGAGTGCATCGGTGGAGTGCAGCAGCCGCTCCTCCTCTCGTAGTGTCTCGATTTCCTCTCTTCTGTCCTCTTCTTTCAGTTCGCCCTTCCCCCTTTGCCCTTGGAGAAGAAGCGGCAAGAATTAATGTGCGGCATAACGAGGAATTCATATCAATGGAATATTTCCAGTCGTTCTATTAATTGCACTTCCATTTCCGCTCCACCGATTGCACTCGTGATGTATGCGAAGTATATTTGAATTGAGTTGCTTACCATACAGGTTGTTGAAAATAATTTAAAGTATATTTGAACCAGACAGTTGATTGCTGATAAATTATGTTTTAGGGCGAGGAGACTGATTTATCATCGATTATTTTATCAGTTTCCATTTGAAGCAATATTGGTTGTTGAAGTAACTTGATACATAATATACTTTGCGTCAAGTTTTTGACGATTAAATTATTTTTAAATTTAACAAAAATATTATTTCAATATTCCATTTGGAGGAATATATCACAAAATACATTTGCAAATATATGTAGAAGCAAAATGGTTTATCATGAAGCATATTCAAATTAGTGAAATTTATTACGAAGTGTATTCAACATTTTACTTTCCATATTTTTATCATGATTCTTGTCTTATCGTAAGGAATGTCTAGCAATTGTTGGTAAACTATATTGAAACAAGATAGCTTGAAGCTGAATATATTCAAAACTATGTCTAACCGCAAGAACATTCGCGGTGAGCCATTGTATCGTAACTTATTTCAAAATATATCCGGCTAGTAAACCAAGTTAGTTCATTACAAAGTGCACCAACATAACTTATAACAAAGCATATTGGCTGTAATATGATCTGTTATATTTAGCATCATGTCATATTCCATATAACGTAATGTATCGCGGATTATATTGAAGCGAGGTAACAATGCAGAATATGTGTGATGCAATATCTAACCATGGACAATATTCGCGATAAATTACTATAATTAATTTTGAAGCATATTGCTTCGTTGCTCTTGCGGCACGTAATACACAGTAAAGTGCATATATTCGTGCCAATATAACTTAGTATGCACATCTGGCACCTTATTACGGGCAATATTCGGCGCAATGTAACTTATCGCTATCTATATAATGTGAGATAGCTTACTGGGGATTGTACTCGAAACTACTAGCGACTGTAGAGCGTACCGGCAATTAGTTACTTTATCGCATAGTAATTCGTACTAATTTACCAGCGGCAATCGATAGGCAAAGATAGGAAATGAACGTAGATGACAGAGAAAAGGGTGAAGGGAGGGTGAAAGGGAGGACGGAATCACAGCATAGAGTCGGAGAAAATTGGAGAGATCGCATCGCTGATGAGTGCGCTGAACCAAGCTCTTCAGATCTAGGGGTGGTCCTACTCTAATTTCAGTGAGGCGTTTCTCCGCGCTTTTCTCTCTCTCTCCATTTTCGCGGTCTTCGTTTGGAGTCCGAGACTGCGTTGAAAGCGAGACTGTGTTACGCGAGTGTCGCTTAGACGGCATTGGGAGAGACGCAAGAAAGAACAGAGACGAATCACTTGTCCTTGAAGAAGTTGAGTGCAGTGAGAAGCTGGGAAACAGAGGACGGCCTTTTCTTCGCAGCTTTCCACCTTGTCAAGGAATTTTTCAATTGAGCATCTAATTCTGAGCCAAACTAATGTTTAGCCCTGTTAATAACGGGCGCTTTTAAGACACGCTGCCCACACTTGGAAAACTCGGCCGCGGATGTGTTACTAAAAAATGCAGTACTTAAGCCGCTTGCACTTAAGTAATATTTTCTGTTGCAAGAGTCGTGGCGGTTTTACGAGGTATATTTTTAAAAAAGTGGGCCTCATAAACT